CTCCAGTTCATTTGCCTCTGTGACTGCTCTCTTCTGGTTCTCATCCTACCTTTCTCAGCACACTTTCAGCATTACATACAACAACTCCTCCGCTCCTCTTCCTCTTTCCTTTGGGGTACCCCAATGCTCTGTGCTTGGGCCCCTCCTTTTCTCTCTCTACACCTCCTCCCTGGGCCAATTGATAACCTCTCATGGCTTCCAATACCACCTCTATGCTGATTACACCCAGATCTATCTCTCCACTCCCCAGCTCACCCCCTCAATCTCCTTGTGTATCACAAATCTACTAAGCGACATATCAGCATGGATGTCACACCACTCCCTTAAACTCAATCTTTCCAAAACCGAGCTTGTAATATTTCCTCTTCCCCAATTCCTTACTCATGACTTTACCATTAAGATCTACAGCACAACCATTGCTCCTTCCCTCATGCCAGGGTGCTAGGTGTAATCCTAGACTCTGACCTCTCCTTCAGTCCCCACATCCAATCACTGGCTAAATACTGCCACCTCAACCTCCGCAACATTTCCAAAATCCAACCTTTTCTAACCAATGACACCACAAAACAACTTATCCATGCCTTGGTTATATCCTGCCTTGATTACGGCAACTCCCTCCTCACTGGTCTACCATTACATAGGTTAGCCCCCCCTTCAGTCTATTATGAATGCTGCTGCTAGACTCATACACCTTACCAACTGATCAGTGACTTCTGCCCCTCTCTACCAATCCCTTCACTAGCTTCCACTAACCAAAAGTATAAAGTTAAAAATACTAACCACAATATACAAAGCCATCCACAACAGTGCCCCTAGCTACATCGTCAACCCCATCCACAGATATCATCCAAATCAGCTGCTCAGCTCCTCCCAAGACATCTTGCTCTCTAGCTCCCTCGTCACCTTCTCCCACACTCACCTCTAGGACTTCTCCAGAGCCTCTCCCATCCTCTGGAACTCCCTACCACAGTATGTTTGGTCAGCCCCCACCCTGTCTGTCTCTAGACAATCTTTGAAAACTCACTTATTCAGGGAAGACTACCCCATCTCCACCTAAGAAATGTACTGGAGTCACCGCCATCAGATTATCCCCTGCAGCTGTCACCTTTTTTATCACCTCCCCCTTCCTTTAGATTGTAAGCTCCACGGGCAGGGCCCTCCTATTCCTTCTGTACTGAAATGTATTGTACTTGTGCTGTCTCCCTTTATATTGTAAAGTGCTGTGCACACTGTTGGCGCTATATAAATCCTGTATAATAATAATAAAAAAGTAGATGTGGATTATTGCTGTCATGGTTAGGTGTCCAGAGACTAGTAGCTATAGCACTAAAGAGGTTCACATTGACTGGCAGGATAAGTAGATGAGCAGGTCACCCTGGTGGATTATGCAGGCCCTAAATAACAATTGGTCTTCACCAGAGCTCCTGATGGTGGAGATGGGTTTCATTGCATGCTAGTGATAGGTCATGGTCCTCAGGATCGCCCCACCAGGAGGTGAACAAGCCAGGGTCCAGTGGCAGATATAGAAGATAGGGATCAAGCAGAAGGTTAGTCCGTAAACTACAGTAAAGTAAAAGGTCAGTAACAAGTGGTTTTCAGGCTGGATCAAATTAAAAATTCATTGAGGAATAGGCCAAAGGTCCATAACAGATGGTTGAAGGTTGGGATCAAGCAGAAGATTATGTGGGCAGGTGTTCACAGCCCTAATAATCTGGGACCTGAAAATAGTTCATTGCTCCACCCTGGAGACAGGAGGTCTCTGCATAGGAGTCAATAGGACTCCAAACCCTCTCCAGGAGTCAGTGAGGCTGCATGGAGGTAGCCAGAGCTTGCATATCAGCACAGTGCAGGTGCAGTCAGTGACAGAGAGTAAGCTGTGAGAGAGTCTAAAGATCCGTGTGCAGTTTTCTGGAGGATCAGAGCTAAGGCCAAGGCTTGAGGCCTGAAGCAGCTATGTGGCAAGAGTTAACCAGGAGGCTGAAGTATTTTGTTTTGAGATTTATAGTGATGGTGAAAACCCCTAGACGAGCAACTGATTTTTGTGTGAACATTTTCATTTCTTGTTAAAATAGCAATTTTCTGAAATAAAATCAAAATTATATTTACTTTTGATATTATCCAAAACATTGTGCCAAGAAAATACTTTAGAGTGTCTACTTTCCAAAAATGTTTTTTGAGTGGTGTTTGTAAAGTCCCAACATTTAGGGCCTCAATAAATTAGATAGGCAGTCAAGACAGCAAGGTTGACAAATTTCAAATATATATGCCATAGTCCGAAGACTCTAACTTTCAGTATCTAAATAACATACACTTAATTGTTTCTTTTTTTAATCAAAGATACAGTATGTAACAGGATATGTTTAGCCTACATTTATGAAGAAAGGTTATCTATTTGCAAAATGGCATTGCAGAAACGAAGGGAAACAGTTTTTTTTTTAATGTCTGTCTTTTTTTTTTATATATAAAAATAGAAAAGTGGTGATTAAATACCACCAAAAAAGCTCTTTGTTATCTGTCTAAAAAACGTATATAAAAATCTGGAGTAAATGTGTTTAACCTCGAAATATGAAAAGGTTTCTTCAAAGTAAGAGCTGTGAAAATGTGAAACAGACTCCCTCAAGAAATAGTTCTGGTTAGCTCAGTAGATTATTTAACAAAAGGCCTTGATTCTTTCCTAAATGCTCAAAATATAACTGGCTAAGACTATTCCTAGGTAATAATACCAGGGGGTGGTTGATCCAGGTAATATTTGATTGCCACCTGGGAAATCGGTAAGGGTTTTCTTTCCCCTGTTGGAGCAAATTGGATAATTATTATTATGGTTATTGTTTTTTTTTTTTTTTGCTTTCCTCTGGATCAGCTGAGGGTATAGGATTGTGTACATGGAGGGTTTCTATATGTGTGTATTTTTTTTTCTATTGGGTGAACTAGTTGGAGTTTTGTCTTTTTTCAACTACACTAACTATGTACCTATGAAAATTAATTTAGGTTTCTTAATCAAAAAATCACAGTGCTGAAAACTGAAAAAAAAATGTCCTGGATAGGAAGTGGCTCTAACATGCCAGTCTTCAAGTCGTTGATTGTCTTTTTGACTGCAATGAAATAATCCATATTTGGATTTATCTACTGTAAAAATATTTTTTTTTTTTCAATTTAATACTAAAGAATAACTTTATTTAACCACTTCATCTTTTGAAGGTTTTACCCCCTTTGTGACCAGGACATTTTTTGCTATTCAGCACTATGCTGCTTTAACTGGTAATTGCTTGGTCATGCAACACTGTACCCAAATGAAATTTATATTATTTTTTCATACAAATGGAGTTGTTTTTGGTGGTATTTAATCTTCACTGGGTTTTTAATTTTTTACTATATAAAAAAAAAAATACTGACTGATACCTTTCATAATACCTTTCATAAATTTATCTATTATAATTTCATATTTATATATATATTTGAAAATTGATCAATCCTGGTACAAATACCCCCCAAATTACCCATTTTTGGAAAGTAGACAGCCCAAGATATTTATTAAGAAGCATGGGAAGTTTTTTGAAGTTGCAATTTTTTTGTCATAATTGTTTTGGAAAATGAAGAAAGTTAATAATGTGTTTTTTTTTTTTCATTTTTTTTTACTATACTGTCACCAGTGCAGTGCAGCATCATCATATGACTGGTGTGGAGGTAATCAGTGATTCTGACTGGTGACAGTGTAGGGAAAAAAAAAAAAAATTTAATCAGTTTTTTTTTTAAACACTTTTTTCTTTTTTTCTACTTTTTTGACATCACCACTAGCTCTGCCCAGTTGTTTACATCTGATTGGTAAATGTCAGATTGCTGTGATTGCTCAACGGGTGTGCATGGGTTAGAGGAAGTCAGGTTTTTTAAAATTTTGTTGAGTTGGCGGTGTCATGACAATGCTGGACACTGTGATTGACGATGGATTTGAATGATGGAACCATTTTTTGGCTTTTTTTTTAAATAAAGGACTTGTTAAAAACTGTTGTTTTTGTTCAATAGAGGGGGCCAGCAATAGGGTTCCCCCTTATTTAAAGGGATACCCTGATGCTAATGAGCTCCCCTGCCCCATATCCCCATAACCATTGGGCCAGGGTTTTGGGGAAGAGTCCCTTGTTCCCATCGGCATGGGTACACTGTCCCAATGCTGAGGGCACGAGGCCTGGTAAGCTGCAGGGAGGGGGGGGCACTTGTTCATCCCCCCATTTTTCTGCCTTACCAGGCCTGTGCTCGGATAATGGGTCTGGTAGGAATTTAGGGGGGGACCCCACGCTTTTCCCCCCAATTTCTTGGGATTGAGGTTACCCCTAAAAGTCCTACCAGGCCTAAAGGGTGTGGTATGGTTTTTAGGGGGAACCCCAGACACTTTAAAAAAAAAAAATTTCTGTGAGGTCCCTCCTAACCTTCCTACCAGACCTAAAGGGTCTGGTGTGGATTGGGGGGACCCCATGCTGTAAAAATGTCAGTCCTGACATTGAAATATATGATCTTGAAAAGTTTTGAGGCATGATATTGAAAAGGCATATATTACTTTAACTAGTTGCTGACCGCAGATAGCCGAATGACGGCTGCACTGCGGCCGGCCAGTTCTGGGTGGACGTCATATGACGTCCCCCCAGAACGCGCTCTCCTGCGCGCCCCAGGGGGGCGCGCACCCGGCGATTTCCGTGATCGCTGTGTCCTACGGACACAGCTGATCACGAGATGTGGTAAAAGGCCAATCATACCGGCCTTTTACCACGTGATCAGCGGTGTCCAATGACACCCTGATCACAGGGAAATGCAAGTGCCGGTTCTCGGCTGCACTTTCCTCACGCTGTCAGATCGTGAGGAAAGTACTTTCCGAGAACCGGCAGTTGTCAGAGCGAGGATCGGGCACCGATCATCAGGGCACTGATGATCAGTGCCCTGATGATCGGTGCCCAGCAGTGCCACCCACAAGTTCCGCCCACCTGTGCCCAGAATGTGCGCCCACTAGCTCCGCCCACCTGTGCCCAGCAGATCACCCCACCTGTGCCCAGCAGTGCACCCACCTCTGCCCAGCAGTGCACCCACCTGTGCCACTCTGCAGTGTCACACACCTGTGCCCAGAAGTGCCACCTACCTGTGCCCAGCAGTGCCACCCACCTGTGCCCACCCACCTGTGCCCACCAAGTGCCACCCACCTGTGCACCCACCTGTGCCCACCAGTGCCACCCACCCACCTGTGCCCACCCACCCACCAGAATGTGCCACCCACCAGTGCCAGTGCAGCCCAGCAGTGCTGCCAGTCAGTGCCACCAGTCAGTGCCCAGCGGTTGTGCCAGTCAGTTCCCAGCAGTGATGCCAGTCAGTGCCGTCTATCAGTACCCATCATCAGTGTCACCTATCAGTGCCGCCTATCAGTGCTGCATATTAGTGCCGCCTATCCGTGACACCTCATTAGTGCTGCCTATCAGTGCCGCCTATCCGTGCCACCTCATTAGTACTGCCTATCAGTGCCCTTTAGTGCTGCCTATCAGTGCCCATCAGTGCCGCCGTGCCTATCAGTGCCCCATCAGTGCTGCCTCATCAACGCATCAGTGAAGGAGGAAAATTACCTGCTTGAAAAATTTTATAATAGAAACAAAGAAACTTTTTTTTTTTTTTTCAAATTTTTTGCACTTTTTTAATTCATTCATAGCGCAAAAAGTAAAGCGCCACAGTGGCGATTAAATACCACCAAAAGAAAGCTCTATTTGTGAGAAAAAAATGATCAAAATTTCATATGGGTACAATGTTGCATGACCGCGCAATTGTCAATCAAAGTGCGGCAGCGCTGAAAGCTGAAAATTGGCCTGGTAAATAAGGGGGTATAAGTGCCTGGTAGGCAAGTATTACTTTAAGCAATGAAAAATGACTGCCCCTTTAAAAACAGCACTTTTTTAAATATTTTTCTTCACTGATTCAAATTCCTCAGGGCAGTACCCAAGTCCCCATACCCCTTTTATGGTCAAGAACTTGCATATAAGCCTTCAAAATGAATACTTTTGAATTTACAAGTCCCATAGACTTGCATTAAGTTTGAAGTTCGCAGACAAACATTCATTAGTTTTGAATGTTCAACCACAAACCAAACATAGGGGTGTTTGGCCCATCACTAGTCTTAGATAGATAGATAGATAGATAGATAGATAGATAGATAGATAGATAGATAGATAGATAGATTTCATGCACCTCCACATGAGCCCAAAAGTAGTTGTTTCACATTGAGATCTTATGGTCCTCTTAGATGCCCCTATGTACGTCCCAGGGAAACCATTTTAGTGTATATGCTCTTATGCAGATGACACAAGAAATACATTTCTCTCAGTACTTCTCCTGATAAAAGATACATTTGTTCTTAGGGTGGAGCATCTTTTCTCCACTTTCCTATCACCTGTCCAGTGGGTTACATATTTGTAGTAATACCATTGTAAGCATAAAATATAAAAACGCAGCGCTAATAGTCAATAATAAATAATTGGTATAGGGTAAATATCTGATCATAAACTGCAAGAAAAATCAAGTCCTGTGATGGTGCTCCCTGTGTTCCCAGTGCATATGGAAAAATGCGCACTAACCAGAGGCGTATTAAAAATACACAGTGCGTAAATATCATGAAGATCCCCCCTCTCTCTGGTCAGGATATGGACTGGAACTGGAGATAGTGAAGATGAAACGCCCTCCTATGGTGAAGATGGATCCAGAGTGCCAGAGTTCCCCTTTAGGGATATGCGGGTTGGAAATCCTGGATTACAGGTCGTTCCCCTCTCTGAAACTGATGGGTGGATCACAGCAGGGCTCTGAAAATTGAAAGCTCCTGGGAGGGAGCAGAAACCTGATTTCTGCTCCCTCCCAGGAGCTTTCAATTTTGTCGAAGTTCCAATCTTTGAAAATTTCTGTGACATGTTTTCTTTGCCTGAATGAGGATGTAGCACTTGCATTTGATTAATGTCCTTTGCAGTATCTTTATTGCATCACGCTGTTAGATGTTACAATGCTGATACACAATCCATGTCATACATGATTTCTCAATCCTGTTAATGTAACATAATTGACATGTTCTGCTTCTTATTAATGTCAATTTGTTTGGAAAAAAAATTGTATGATTAAAAATATTTATGTTCTGATCTAGTAACTTAAACATCTGTCATTTCTCAACGGTATGCTTCCAATATAGAGTATGGAGATAGGTCCAAACATCCAATGGAGGAGGTAGGGTACATTCTATGCATTTCATGGATCAATGAGGTTAATCTATGAACTGTATCAACAATCTTAATTAGTACAATGCAGCATGAACTATACACTATATTATTGTACACTATATTATTATTATTAACTTATGACGTACATATGAACATCAAAAAGTCAAAGACATTTATACATTCTTAAAAATAAAAGCCATGTAACATCCGCTACCGACATACTACAAGGAAATGAAGGAGGGTAGCAGGGACCAGAAAAGAGAAAAACAGGTGTAACTCTAGAAATACCTCATGACTGTGATATGACTAATTCAGCATTATAATACTCTGAAACTTACAGAAAAAAAAATCAGCATTCATATGTTGCTAATGTCCAGTTAAATAATGTGCCTATAAAGAGTGTTAAAAGTAATAATCCCCTAAGTTATATTCCTCAGTGAGACCCACTATGGGACCTTCAACATCATTGCATTTGAGGAGCAAATACTCACATGATATTACAGAACACATAAGCAACACTTATAACCAACAGAAATGCTGGGTGCCAGCCTGTAAGATAGTCACATAGCCCAGGTGAGACTAATTAATACAGAGACTTTGATAATGGAAAGATCTAAAAGGAGTTCCAAATCATCATACCTCCAATAGACAATGCATTCTCATCAGTGTCTGCAAGTTTCCCAGGTCACAGTCAGCCACAGGTATTTTCCTCCCATCCTTATCAGACATGACTACAATAAAATAATATAATGCCATTTTAACACCTCTACCCCAGTGATCTGACAATTCATACCTTAAGCCATGTCAATCAGGGAACTATAACCTATGCAGGTTTCCTGACACTAACAATGGAGTTTTTGGATAATCAACATTAACACATTCCATGATGATTTGATTAAAGCCCCAGGTATGTCTGTTTTTGCATAGGTATATTGGTCCAGCATAGTTATATAATCCAGTTATACAATTCCCATACAATGTGTTAAATGTTTGGTTATAAAGCAATAACAATTAGAGTATTTCAAAGCCAGCATCTAGAAGTATTATATAGAACTAGTGTACATTATGCAATCATTTTTACAGGGCCACTATGTAAGAGGAAGAATTCTTTATGTGAAAAAAATGACAATTTATAATGTCATGTCAAAAGTTAACACTTGCACCGACTGTAATAATTTTTACTAGGCTGCAATGGAAGGGTAGAGACTAGTCAGGTTTTTCATGAAATTAAAAATTGCAGTGTATTTTGTTTCTTAGATTAAAGACTTAAACTACAGATTTGCTGGACAGTATGTATTGTTTTGCTATGAGGCAATTTCAGAAAGAGAGCTAGCAGAATTCATATAGAAATAATAAAAAAAAGAGTGCATATTTTCTCAGACTGAAGACATTAAAGGTTGTACAGATTTGCAATAAGTGTATTTTTCTGAAACAATAGGCAAAAACATTGTACAGATTTGCTTGACAACATGTGCTCCAATTTCAAATGGAGATGGATGTAATTAAAAATTACAATGTCTTTTTTTTTTTCTAAGACTGGAGACAGAAACAATGTACAAATTTGCAGTAGATTATAAAATCATTTTTATAGGTTATTTCAAAAAGAGAGAGCTGGCAGATTGTATATGGAAATAAACAATTATTATTATTATTATTATACAGTGTTTATATAGCGCCAAAAAGTTTGCTCAGCGCTGTACAATATAGTGGGGGACAGTACATGAGACAATACAGTAACAAAACAATATATGAGAGGTTCAATTCATTTAGATTTTTGGAGACTGGAGAAAGAAAAATTGGACAGATTTGCAGCATAGCTTTTAATCCTTTTTTTAGCATGCAGATGTCACATGGATATAAATGGTCTTTTTTTCTGAGACTGGAAACAAAAAAGGATAGATTTGCTGCACATGTATTCCTTTTGTCCTAGGATGCAATTCCAGAGGGAGAGAGCAAGCATATTTTATCTTTAAATAATTTTTTTTTTTTTTTCTGAGACTGAAGACAGAAGAATTGGAAATTCTTGCTGCACTTTGGAGTCTCAGAGAAGCAAAGGAAACTAAGTAGACTAATATGTGATGGCACTGAAGGGAATAGAGTCAACATGGCAGCTTATTCAGCAAAGGTGAGAGCCCCTAGAAGGTCAGAGATGCAGAGTCCAAGTAGCCGCCTGGTCTTCAGCAGAGCAACCACACAAAGTCTTATCGATTTTGCTTCTGGTGGCTCTCATGTTGCTGCCCTCACACTCACCCAAGCAGGCAACTACAGGAGACTAAAAATATAAAATGGATGAGAGTACATATATACAGGGATATGTCTCTTGCAGTCCTTGGGTGCTTGGCTCAGTAGGAGTAATAGGAGCAAGCACATTGTAGAACCTGAGATTCTGGGTTCAGAGGAAGAGTGCAGAAGACTACAAGTGTAGGGAGACTGGATGCACACTGGATTGCTCAGAGAATCACACAGGTTCTGGTAACAAGTTACTGACTGGAACACAAAAGAAATGGTTAAATAGAAAAAATGTGTATACAAACAAAAAGAAAAACTTTCCAAAGTTCTCCTTTAAATATTACATTTTCATGGGCAAAGCATAAAAAGACAGCACTGGGAGACAACCCATTAAGAAGAAGGCAGAGAGGGAATCAGATGTCGGAGTGCACAAGAAGCATGGGAATGTTTTATAGACTCAAATTAAAACAAAAGAAAAAGTTCTTGCAGCATAAGCAGACAATGCTTACTTTACAAGAATAATACAAAACAAAGACATTTTTTAGTTTTATGATGTCAGCACTTATAGCATAATTGCACAAAAAGGAGATTATCAAGATGAAGATTTCACATTTCAACTGATGTGATAAATGCCAATAAAAAGTGTTCACAAATCATTTTGTTGGCTTCATCTTCTAAACATAATTATGTTGTAAAGACCACCAAAGATCTGCTCTTTGCATACATCTAACTCCTGGTTCCCATATGCTGGATTTATTATTATAAATGGTGTACCACATTAAAGATCTTTACAATAAACTAGACACAATGAAGAGGCTATACAGTATTGCTACATAGACAGAAACAAACAAATGTGCTGTATTTAAAATTTGGTGTAGTTTACTGATCTATA